CCCTCTAATGGCCGCCGCGGCCGGCGCGCTGTGGCCAGCGCACTGCACTGATCCGATGGCAGGAGCCAGGTACTTATCCTGGTCTCCCATGGGGTGCAGGGCCCAAGCACTTGGGCCATCCTCCACTGCACTCCCGGGCCATAGCAGAGAGCTGGCCTGGAAGAGGGACAACCGAGACAGAATCCGGCGCCCTGACCAGGACTAGAACCCGGTGTGCTGATGCCGTAAGGCGGAGGATTAGCCTAGTGAGCTGCGGCGCTGGCCTAGTATACATTCTATATTCAGATTTTGCCAGTTGTCCTAACAAATGGCCCACCAAATATTCCCACAATTGGGAACCCAATTCTAGACATACATTGCATTTCATTGTATGTCTCTCGTTAGCCTCTCTTAAGCTGGAAAGTTTCTTTTTTCATGACATTAACATTTTGGAAGAATTTGTCTCATTTGGGGCACTGTCTCATTTTTCCTGATGATATGATTTAGGCTATACATTTTTGTCAAGAATTTTGTCTAGGTGATGTGGTGTTCTTCTCAGGGCATCTTAATGGGCGCCACATAATGTTGTCTTGTCCAGGTACTCATAGTGATTCACATGATCACCTGACTGGCAGGAATGGTAAACTGAAAAATGACCTCAAGTGACATCCATATCAAGTTCTTAGAACCTATGAATGGGCCGGCGCCGCAGCTCAATAGGCTAATCCTCCGCCTAGTGGCGTCGGCACACTGGGTTCTAGTCCTGGTCGGGGCGCCGGATTCTGTCCCGGTTGCCCCTCTTCCAGGCCAGCTCTCTGCTGTGGCCAGGGAGTGCAGTGGAGGATGGCCCAAGTGCTTGGGCCCTGCACCCCATGGGAGACCAGGAGAAGCACCTGGCTCCTGCCTTCGGATCAGCGCGGTGGGCTGGCCAGCCACGGTGGCCATTGGAGGGTGAACCAATGGCAAAAAAGGAAGACCTTTCTCTCTCTCTCTCTCTCTCTCTCTCTCTCACTGTCCATTCTGCCTGTTAAAAAAAGAAAGAAAGAAAGAAAGAAAGAAAGAAAGAAAGAAAGAAAGAAAGAACCTATGAATGTGAAACTTACCTAGAAAAGGAGGCCTTTGCAGCTGTGATTAGATTAAGGCTTTTTTTGTTTAAGGGAAGATGAATTTATTTGGAAGGAAGAGTGACAGAGAGATCCTCCATCCACTCATTCACTTCCTAAATCCCTGCAATATACTAGGCTGGGCCAGATCAAAGCCAGGAACCTGGAACTTAATCTGGATCTTCCACAAGGGTGGCAGGGACCCAAGTACTTGGGCCATCACCTGTCTTCTGAGACTTATTAACAGGTTGCTGGATCGGAAGTGGTGGAGCCGGGACCCAATTGGCACTCCACTATGGAATGTGGTCATTTCAAGCAGTGGCTTAATCTGTTTCACCACAACACCTGCCCCTAAATTATGAATCTTGAATAAGATAATCTGGATTATTTGGATGGCACATAAATGCTATCATAAGTATCATTGAAAGAGAGAGGCAGAGAGAAATTAGACCCACAGGAGAGGAGGCAATGTGACAGTGGAGGTGGGGTGATGGCTCATGGAATGCCAACAGCCAGAAGACGGAAGAAGCCAATTCTCTAGAACCTCTCCAGTTAATGTGCACCTACTGATACTTTGATTTTGGACTTCTGGCTTCCAGAATGGTGAGACAATAGAAGCCGCCTACTTGTGGTAATTTGGTACAGCTTTCACAGAGAAGGAATATAAGAATATATAACAGTTCAAGGGATTTCCATGAAATTACAACTGAACTTAGATTTTTTTTTTAAGATTTATTTTATTTATTTGAAAGGCAGAGTTGCAGCGAGGCAGAGGCAGAGAGAGGTCTTCCCGGCTGGTTCACTCCCCAAATGGTGGCAGTGGCCAGAGTTGTGCCAATCCGAAGCCAGGAGCCTGGACTTTCTTCCAGGTGTCCCATGTGGGTTCAGGGGCCTAAGGACTTGGGCCATCCTCTGCTGCCTTCCCAGGCCATAGCAGAGAGCTGGATTGGAAGTAGAGCAGCCGGGATTCGAACCAGTGCCCATATGGGATGCCGTCGGTGCAGGTGGCGCCATACTGTAGTGCCAGCTCCCTAAACTTAAGATTTTTACCTGAGTGGTTACTTTATTTAACAAAAAATTCTCTGCACATTTCATATACTTTTAACTGTACCTAGGAACAGAAAGCTTAATTAGATTAGTGACTTTTCAGCCCAGATGATGTATATAATTAAAGTAAATATATATTACTTTAAAAGTGGAAAACTTGAGTCAATCACATGTAATTGGGCAGTGACTAATGTTGTAGTAATTATGTTTACTAAGCAACTTAGAGGGAAGGAAGATGGAGCCAGCCATACTCCACCAATGATTGGGAAGTCATCCTTGATTACAAGTGTGGAGATTTTATATTATTTTATAGAACGAGTATGATTTGATATTAGTCAAAATGATTTTTGCCTTCCCTCATGTATATCACAGACCAAGAAGAAGAAGAAGCCACATGCATTTTTCTTAGGTGGAATCAAATGTCACAATACTTATGGTAAAAAATTGTGTTCTTCAATTAGATTAAAAGGGTTTGTCAGCAAATACTAATTTAGCGCTTATTTTAGTGTATGTATTAGATGTGTATATATATATATATTTCTTAAAGATTTATTTATTTGAAAGTCAGAGTTACAGAAGGAGAGGGGAAGAGTCGGGGAGACACACACACACACACACACACACACACAGAGAGAGAATCTTCCATTCTCTGGTTCACTCCCCAGGTGGCTGCAGTAGCCAGGGCCAGGCAGGACAAAGCTAGGAGCCCAGAATTCTGTCTGGGTCTCCTGTGTAGGTGGTAGGGACCCAAGCACTTGAGTCATCACTTACTACCTCCCTGGATGGCACCAGCAGAATGATTAATAGGAAGCAGAGGAGCTGGGACTTGAACCAGGCACTCTAATATAGGATGCAGGTTTCCTAAGTGGTGACTTAACCACTGAGCCAAATGCCCACCTCTAACATTTTTTTATTTTTAAATTTTTTAAAAAGTTTTGTTTATTCAAGAGGTGGAGTTACAGACAGACAGAGGGAGAGACAGAAAGATCCTCCATCCTCTGGTTCACTCCCCAAATGGCTACAATGGCTGGAGCTGGGCCAATCCAAAGGCAATAGCCAGGAGCTTCTTCCAGATCTCCCATGTGGGTGCAGGGGCCCAAGCACTTGGGCCGTCCTATGCTGCCTTTCCAGGCCATTGTCAGAGAGCTGGACCAGAAGTAGAGAAGCTGGCGCAGCAGAGGCCCAACCCACTCTGCAGCGCCGGCTTACATTTTAGTAAAGAGAGACAAACAGTAGTTGACAATTAATACAGGGGGCCAGCTCTGTGGCATAGCGGGTGAAGCCTCCGCCTGCAGTACCAGCATCCCATGTGGGCGCTGGTTCGGGTCCTGGCTGCTCCACTTCCAGTCCAGCTCTCTGCTGTGGTCTGGGAAGACAGTGGAGGACAGCCCAGGTCCTTGGGCCCCTGCACCCACGTAGAGGACCTAGGGGAAGCTCCTGCCTCCTGGCTTCGGAGCAGCGCAACTCTGGCCATTGCGGCCAACTGGAGAGTGAACCAGTGGGAGGAGGATCTCTTTCTCTTTCTGCCTCTCCTTCTTTCTCTGTGTAACTCTCACTTTCAAGTAAATAAATAAATCTTTTAAAAAAACGATACATAGAATTTCAGATGAAGGTAAGTTCTGTGGCAAAATATTTCAAGAAGATAAGGGGGAGGTAGAGAATATCTGAGAAAGTAGAGTGGTGGCTATGTCACGTAGTGGTGTCAGAGAAGGCTTCAGGTCTGAAGTGGGTCAACGAAGAGTCACAGAAGTTAGAAAATACTTTGAGGTAAGTGAGAAGAAAAACAAAACACAGCAAAAGCAGCACTGATAGGGAAATTTGTAGCTATAAATGTCTGTGGTAAAAAATTTCAAGTCAACAAGCTAACTTTGCACCTCAAAGAATTGGAAGGGAGCAAACTTAACCCAGGACTAGCAGAAGGAAGGAAATAAAAGAGATTAGAACAGAGATAAATAAAATAGAGAATCAAAAAACAATGCAGAGAATCATCAAAACCAGAATTTTTTTTAAAGATCAACATGTGATAGTCTGAGCTAGACTAAGAAGAAGGAAAAAGGTGTAAATAATTAAAATCAGAAATGAAAATAAGGACATTTCTGTGTTTGCAGAAGTAAAAAGTGCATGAAATTGACAGATTGCTAGAAATGTGAAAATCATGGACTCAAGAAAAAATAGACAATTTTAACTGACAAATATGTTGAATCAGTAATCAAAAGCCTCCCAACAAAGAAAAGTCTTGTGTGAGTGGCTTCTTTTGTCAATTTCACCAAATATTTAAAAAAAGATCGGGACTAACCCTTGTTATACTCTTTCAGAAAGTAAGAAAAGAGCAAACACCTCCTAACTCATTCTTTGAGGCCATCATTACCCTGATACCAAAGACACTGTAAGAAGGCTCAGACCAATAACCCTTATGAATCTAGGAGCAAAAGCCCTTAACAAAACACTAGCAAAGGGGTCAACGCTGAGGCCTAGTTGCTCAAGCTGCTGCCTACAGTGTCAGCATCTCATATGGATGCTGGTTTGAGTCCCACCTGCTCTACTTCTGATCCAGCTCTCTGCTATGGCCTGGGAAAGTAGTAGAAGATGGCCCAAGTTCTTGGGCCCCTGCACCCATGTGGGTGATCCAGAAGCAGCTCCTGGCTCCTGGCTTTGGCTGTTGCAGCCATTTGGGGAATGAACTGGCGGATGGAAGATCTCTCTCTCCCTCTTTCTCTCTCTACCTTTGCCTCTGCCTCTCTGTAACTCCACCTTTCAAATAAATAAATAAATCTTAAAGAAACCACTAGGAAACCAAATCTAACAGCATATTAAAATATGCTTCATGCCCAAATGGAATTTGTTTGAAGAATGCATCATAGCGTTTAAAAGATATGTCATCATTCTTTATTAATTCATCCTAACATTTGGTAGGACTTTGGATTATAGGTCAATAAGTTTTATGGGGAGTTCCTGGCTACTCCATTTCATCCAGCTCCCTGCTAATGCGCTCAAGGAAGCAGCAGAAGATGGCCCAAGTCCTTGATCTCTTGCCACCCACATGGGAGACCTGAATGGATTTCCAGGCTTCTGGCTTCAACCTGACCTAACCCCAGCCAATGAGGCCACTTGGGGAATGAATCAGAAGATGGACGATCTCTCTCTCTCTTTCTCTCTCTCTCTAACTCTCTCTCACCCTCTCTGTAATTGTGTGTTTCTTTTTTTTTTAAATATTTATTTATTTTTTATTTGAAAGGCAGAGTTACAGAGAGGCAGAGGTAGAGACAGAGAGAGAACGTTTTCCATCTGCTGGTTCGCTCCCCAGATGGCTGCAATGGCTGGAACTGAGCCAACCCAAAGCCAGGAGCCAGGAGCTTCTTCCGGGTCTCCATTGTGGGTGCAAGGGCCCAAGGACTTGGGCCATCTTCTATTGCTTTCCCAGGCCATAGCAGAGAGCTGGATTGGAAGTGGAGCAACCGGGTCTTGAACTGGCACCCATACAGGATGCTGGAACCACAGGTGGTAGCTTTACCCACGAGGCCACAGCGCTGGCCCCATCTGTCTTTCAAATAGATAAATAAATCAAATAAAAAAGATTTATCGGAAGATGTTTTCCTAGAGGCAGGTGTTGTCCGTGGGTTAAGCCACTTGACATGCTTGCATCTCAGGTTGCCAGTTCCAGTCCTGGCTGCTCTGTTTCTGATTTAGTTTTCTGCTAATGTATCGAGGTGGCAGCAGAAGCTAACTCAAGTGCTTGGGTCCTTGCCACCCCCATGTGAGACCAGGATGGAATTCCTGTTTCATGGCTTTGGCCTGGCCTAGCACTAGCTGTTGCAGTTATTTGGGAAGTGAGCCAGTGGATGAAAGAGCTATCACTCTGTCTCTGTTGCTCTGTCTTCCAAATAAATAAAAAGAATAAACATTTTATAAGAAGTTTAAAAATTTTTTATTTTCTAAAATAACTTAGGAAGCTCATGTATGATACCTTTTGAAAGACTGTAATACTTGTTATTTTGTCATTTAAATAATTAATGGAAAAGTTATTTTATGCTCTTGTGGGTAAAGTATGAAGTATGACTTCTTATACTAATTGTTTATAAGTCTGACCAGGTAGCTCGCTTCAGGATGTTGATTTCTTTTTCTTTTAGTTCATTTTTAAATCTCTTTTTTTTGTCCTTAGATGGAGTCCAGACAGTGTATCAGCTGAGTCATGATATTGATGCTGGTCGTTTCCAAGCACTACTGGAATGTTTTACCAGCACTTTTGAGGAAGTGAAAACTTTAGCATTTGATCTTCTGATGAAGTTATCAAAAACAGCTGTGCATTTTCAGGTATTTGTGCTTTTGATGTGCACATGTTTATGTGGTATATATATAAAGATTTTCTGTTTTAGTAGGAGATAAAGGAGTCTAAGGATTATCTTTGTTCTTTACGTCTGCCTGCTTGTGTCTTTTTTTCTTTTTTAACCCTTTTTTTCAGGTATCTTCAATACCTTGCTACTTTTGTGAGATGGTGTGATAGGAGGAAACATTGTAAAATAAAAAATCCAACTCAATTAGGTTTGCTTTTTTATTGCTTTATCAATAGGGGTGTGCAGGAGGCAGTAGATTTTGTGTATATGATTATTGGTGTACTTTAGTTATCTGGGATCTCCCAGTCCCCTTAGACATGTAATGTTTGATTAAAATCCATCACTTGCAATAGCTTGAGTTTTTAAAAGGAATCTCCCTGCCTCGTAGACTGGGAGACTGAGTGTAAACGAGGTAGAGAATGCGATTCTGGACTCCCGTCAAGCAGTGGCTGAGCTGATCCTGAAACCCAGCATACTGGAGGTCAGCACCCCACAAGGTGCTCGGTGTCTTCCAGTGACTACAACAGTGAACTGTCCTTTGTTCCATCTTCTTTAGGACAGGCTATCTGAGTGGCTGTTTGTATGAGTGGGAGATAGGAATCGTTGAGGCAGAATTTCCAGGCTGAGCTGAGTACTTGTTCACCCCACATGGATCTGGAGTGTTTGCAGGAACAGTCTCCCACTGTATTTGTGTTTTCCTCCATTGAGGTAGCTGAATGTAAAGGGGGAAGGGAGAGGGGCAGGCGTGTGGCACCCACATAAATGGAGACCTCAAGAGACAAAAGAAGTCTGCTCTCTGTCACCCTAGAACTTCTGAGGGGAAAAAGTACACTTTTGTGAGAGCAAAATGGATTTAAAAAAAAAAAAGGCTTTATCAAAGTTCAATTTCCCAATTGAAATGATTTTCAAGGCTTTCATCTCTGAACTGATCAATAATAACCATTAAGTACTATGAGAAAACTAACCTTTGTTCAGAAAAGGAATGAATGTTCATATTGAGTTATAGTTATATGGCAGGCAGTGTTTAAAATCAAATTAAATAAATCTTTCTGTGACCGTTACTGAGTGTGTACTTTATTCTAGGATTCCGAGAAGTTGGAAGGCTTGTTCCAGGCAGCACTGGAGCTCAGCACAAGCCCCAAACCATATGACTGTGTCACAGCTTCCTACCTGCTGAACTTCTTAATCTGGCAGGATGCGCTGCCATCATCCCTGCCTGCGTACTTAACCCAGCAAACTGCATGCGAAGGTGGAGATCAGTCTGCTGCTGTGGTGGAAAAGAACGCATTAATGGGTTTGTGTTGAGTAAATGACCTTTTGCTCTTATTTATCAAAACCATTATCTTACTCTCTCACTCTTCATTTTGTTAGCATATCTAATGGTTAAACATTTACTTTGTGGTTTAGTATTTAAGAATTTAACAGCATATAAGAACACTATAAGTTTTATGCAAATAAGCAGATTACTCAGCTGTCATACTTGTGTTGAAACAGAGGATTCCTGTTAATAGATATGCAAATGCATATAAATAAAGCTCTTGTTTTAAAAACTACCAACTCTTTCTCAACCAAATGTGGTTTTCTTGTTTGTTTTGTTTTTGCAGAAAGTTTACCATGGCTGTAAGAGGATCATCTTTGTTATTTCTGTAAGAGCAGGTTTCCTTTGTGGGGGTGCAGGTTCTAACTGTCATACCCCTACACTGTTTTCTTCCCATATAGCCAGTTCTTAACCTAGAGTCTGAGATGGTTTAAATCTAGAGTCTCAGCAAGTATGTGTTGGGGATTCAAGTACTTACTTGTATGCTGGTAAATCTATTTTAGAAGTCTATAGGAAGTAAGAATAGATTTGGATTTAAAAAGATCAGGATGATGTTGTAGCAGTTCAGATGTTGCTCTTCAAATAATTAAAACATTTATTTTTAAAATGGAGGTCAGATACAGGAAGTTGGAAACTATTTTTTCCATGATGGTGGAAAAAGCCATGAAGTAGGGAACTCATAGTGGGAGGAAAGAAGGAGGCTATGGATAGTTCTGTGGGGAGTATGGCCATGTGTCTGGAGATAGAGAGGAAACAGTGCCATTTGAGCTGCTTTCATGGCTGGGTTCAACACAGACCCTGATAAGACCATTGGAGGACTGGGGAGTACATGCTTCACATAGGCTGTCAGTTAAAGACAATTGAGAACTTTGTGAAACATGTCAGGCATACAGAGAATACTTAAATATATAATGTTTAAATAGCAATAAAGGCTTGGGTGTTGGGCATGTTAGTTAAGATGCTGAATCCCATATTGAAGTACTTGGGTTCTATACCCGACTCAAGCTTTCTGCTAATGTTGGACCTGGGAGCCAGTGATGTTGGCTAAAGTAGTTGGGTACTTCTCATTCAAAGAGGTGGCCTGGATTGAGTTCTTGGCTCCCTTCTGGCTTCAGCGTGGCTCACTCATAGCCATTTTCAGTATCTGGGGAGTGAACAAGTGGATGGAAGCTCCTTCTCTGTCACTCTTGTACCCTCTGCTTCTCAAAATAAAAAAGCAATAACATGAAAACATCACAAGTTTATTCATAAGCTCGGTGATATCACTTATTGTAGGAAGTAGAATAGCACTAGTATCCTGGAAGTTTCCCCTTCATTCTACCCTATATTTTATGTTAACCCTTCATAACATATTTTAGGTTAATATTTCACATTTGTGATTTTACCAACTATGTATATATATCATTAAACAGTATATTATTTAGTTTTATGTGATTTTGAATTTTATCTAAATAGTACTTTGTGTATTATACACATTTATCACAATTTGTTAATTCATTCTCATGGTGTTGGACTTGCTGTTTTCTCTAAATACTTGATGCCACTGAACATGCTCATCTAGTTCTAAGGCACATATATGAGAGTTTATGGTAAACCAAAACAGATTTGGTCATAAAGTATGTGGATTTTCAGTTGTATAAGATGATATCAAATACGTTCAAATTATATGCCCATCAGCAAATTATGAGAATTGTGTTACATCACAATATCAGCATAATTTGTTATTGTCGGATTTTAAAAATTTATAGGATATAAATTAATGACTCATTGTGGTTTAATCTGACATTGTTCCGATTACTAATGTAATTATCTTTTTTATATAGTTATACACTGTTCACTTTCCCCTTTGTAAAATCCCTGTTTGTGTCCTTTCTTCAGTTTTCTATGGGATTGTTTGTCTTTTTCCTATTGATTTTTAGGAGTTCTTTATATATTCTGAAAGTATTAATTTTTTAGTTATACACAATCCTTTTTTTAAAGTTGTCATTTTATTTTTATTTTTTGTTTTATTTATTTAAAAGGCAGAGAGAGAAAGAGGTATAGAGATAGGCAGACATAGACTGTCGGAGAGAGATCTTCATCGGCTGAGTTTACTTCTCAAATGCTGGTGATAGCCAGAGCTTGGCCAGACTGAAACCAGGAACTTAGAGCTCCATCTGTGTTCCCTCAAGAGTGGCAGGGACCTTCCAGGGTGCAGGACACTGGATTGGAAGTAGAATAGGGTCTCCAACTCAGGCACTCTGATATGGCATGTGGGCATCTCAACTGCTGGCCAAATGCCCACCCTGGTTATACACAATTCTAAAATTTAAAAGATAACTGGGATACATAGTATCACATGCAAAATGATGAAATTGAACCTACTACTTCACGCTATATAGAAAAGTCAGCTCAAAATGGATTAAATGCTAAATTTAAATGCTAGAAACTATAAAATCCTTGAAGAACCCATGAGTGTCAATTAAAACAGTGGTTCCTTAGATATGACTCTCAAAGCACAAGCAGCAACAACAAAAATACTCAAAGATAAATTGGACTTCATCAAAATGTAAAACTTTTGTGCATCAAAGAATGCCATTAAAAAAGTGAGGAAAAGACAACCTGCAGAATAGGACATTTGCAAATCTTATATCCGATACGAGACTTGTGTCTAGAATAGATAAAGAACTTTTTCAGCTCACTAATAAAAGGACATAACAATTGAAAAAAGACAAAGGGGGCCGGCGCTGTGGCTCACTAGGCTAATCCTCTGCCTTCAGTGGCGGCATCGCATATGGGCTCGAGGTTCTAGTCCTGGTTGCTCCTCTTCCAGTCCAGCTCTCTGCTGTGGCCTGGGCAGTAGAGGATGGCCCAAGTGCTTGGGCCCTGCACCCGCATGGGAGACCAGGAGGAAGCACCTGGCTCCTGGCTTCAGATCGGCGCAGCGCCGGCTGTAGCGGCCATTTGAGGGGTGAACCAACGGAAGGAAGACCTTTCTATCTCTTTCTCTAACTCTGTCAAAAAGAAAAAAAGAAAAAAGACAAAGACTCTGAATGACATTTCTCTAAAGAAGGATATGCAAGTTAACAATAAACACATGAAAATTTGCCCAGTATCATTAGCCTTTAGGGAAATACCAATCAAAATCATAGTGAGGATCCTGCACAGCAGGATGGCTATAATAAGAGAGGAAAAAATACATAACAAGTGTTGATGAAGATGTGGAGAAAGGACCCTCATGCATAACTGGTGTGATTGTAAAATGGTACCTCTGCTTTGGAAAACAGTCTCTCAGTTCCCAAGAGTTGAAACAGTGTTACCATATGACCACCCTTCCATCCTTAGGCATTGTCATTGTGAACTTGCGCTGCTGTAACAAAATGTCATAGACCAGGTGGGTTAGAAACAGTCATTCCTCCGTTCTAGAGGTGGAGAATGATAAGATCAAGGTGCTGGCAGATTTAGTTCTTGGTATAGGCCATCTTCGAGCTCTCAGGTACCTCTTCACTGTGTGTTAAGGTGGTGCAAAGAGAGAGGGATTGAGTGCACATGTGTATGTGCACCCATCTCTCATTTGCCTCTTATTTGAACATTAATCCCAACATGGGGTTACCCTCATGACGGTTACCTGGTCTAAGTCTCATTACCTTCCAAAAGCTCTATCTTCAGATACTACCACATTGCTGGTTGGGTTTTCAACATGGCAGTATTGAGGATCCAAACATTCAGTCCATAATAGGCATATGAAAACATGTCCACATAAAGACTTGTAGAGGAATGCTTGTAACAGTCTTATTCATAGTAGCCAAAAAATGCAAACAGTCCACACACAGGTCTATCATCTGATGAATGGATAAATAAAATGTGGTATATCCCTACAATGGACTTTTATTCAGCTGTAAGAAAGAATGAACTATTGACCCATGCTGTAGCATAGAAGAACTTAGACATTAAGTGAAGTGAGAGAAGCCAGTCACAAAGACCATGTATATTGTGTGATCCCATTTATACTCTATGTCCAGAACAGGTAAATCCATACAGGCTGGAAACAGATTAGTGATTACTCAGGCTTGGAGGAGGGTAGAGGGTAGAGTAGAGGGGAGTCACTGCTAACGGGTAACTGTTTTAAAATGGACTGTGGTAATGGTTGCACATGAGTGTGATTATTCTAAAGACCATTGACTTGTGGTATGTGAGATATTTATCTCACTAAAACTGTTGTTAAACAAAAAAAACGCATCCTCTGTCCAAATAGCACATGCCACAAGGGCCTAGAGGAAGAGTAGGAGGAGTGATTCAGAACTGTAATGGTTCCAGACAGTGAGGGAAAGAAGACACTCAGTTCTACCTTAATTAGAAATGGTCCATGGGCGGGATAACCCTGGAAGATCTCTTTTTGCTTCAGAAAGTCCTGTATAAAGTTTAGTTGACTTGGGGGTTTTCCTAGGAACTGTTTTTGTGTTCTCAAAATTATAAGTGTTTTAAAACTGGATTACTCGTGTTTTTTGTTTGCTTTTTCCAGTTATTAAATGCTTGATGGAAAATCTTGAGGAAGAAGTATCCAGGGCTGAAAACTCTCTGCTTCAGGCAGCCGCAGCGTTTCCAATGTATGGGCGAGTTCACTGCATAACGGGAGCTTTGCGGAAGTTACCGCTAAAGTAAGCGTCTCCACAGCTGTGTCCTGTCTTAGACATGCATGCATTTCTGGTTTTTTGCCTCTTACTGGAATGTGCCCTGGGATAGGAGTCTGTTGCCCTACAGACAGTTGGAAAGTAGATTTGAAAGCCTTCATGTGTGTACATATTTTTATGTCTCAGATATTTCATGTATTGCACAACTTTGAAACGAGTTCTTTCAACTCCTTGTATCTGTTAATTTCCATGTTTTGCTTTGAGTCTTAATTGCTCTCCGATCCCATTGCAGCAGCCTGCATCTGGTGAGCGAGTGGAGACCTGTGGTGGAGACGCTCATCTCTCTATCCTACAGGCTGTCTGCGGTGGTGTCCCCGGTCATTCAGAGCTCCTCCCCTGAAGGCCTTGTCCCCATGGACACTGATTCAGGTCAGCAAACAAAGAAGGCCACAGTACTGTGGTCTGATTCTTAGGTTTTCCTCTCCCTCTTTTTTTTTTTCCTAGTTATTTCTTTGGAGAAATGCAAAGGCTAAATTGAGGGGTAAAAAAGAAATTATTATTTTTCCATAGTATTTCTATCTTTTTAGTAATAATTTTAATTATTGCAAAATAGCTACAAATACCCAACCCTCAGCACCAGGTGATGGGCAAGGAACTTCCTCCCCTAGGGTCAGTTGGGTTTGATAAGGCATTTTGTGGGAACACAGCCTGCTGGGAAGTTGCTGGGCCTGGGAGACAGGCAGTGTAAATTATGAGGTGAGCAACTAGTGGGAGTCCGGAGCAGGTGAAGACCATTCAGCAGACAAAGACCATTTCATTAAGAAAAGAAATGAGAGGAAACATTCAGCATGTCCCAGATGGAAGTCAGGGACTTTTGTCTTTTTTTCCTCCTCCCAGCTTTGGTGAGTGATCCCGCCAGAGATCGGTCTATGCAAGTCTAAGGCCTCGTGCTGTGTGACATCTCTCCCTTCCTCATATCCAGCCTGTCTCCACAGTCTCTCAGTGTTGCCTTAAGTAGCTCTGAAATTTTTTATTTTCATTCTATGTCTCCATCTTCTCACCTTTTCCCGGCATTTATCCTCTCTTGCTTGGACTCCTCAGGGGCCTCCTGACTCCTTTTCCTGCATCTACTCTCATGCTGTTTTCTTCTTGTTATGATCCAAAGTAGTTTTTTCTAATTCATGATGTTAAACATAATCCTTATGGAACCTTTCTGCCTCCCCCCACTCTACTGCCCCTTCCCCCATTTTGAATACTTTGGTGACCTCCCTGCAGATCCTGTAAGCTCTTCTGCTCTTCCAAGGAGCTTTCTGCCACACGATTGTAATGTGACAGGGCTCTCATCTGTGTTCTCTCTGCTTATTGCACAGTGCCTGGTAGAAGTGGATCCGTGTTAAAAGTTGGTGATGAACACATGGGTGAAGGAACACATCCTTGACAGGACAGGAGCTGAGCTCAGTGCAGGACGCCCTGGGTGGTGTGTGCCTGCACTAAGAGGCCAGAGGGACTGGCGGTGCTCCTTTGAACACACAGAGAGCAATGACTTTACATTTGGTATTGAAGTAGAGTTTGTAAATGCATTTTAGAGTGCAAATGGGAGACTTTTATTAGAACATATGGAGTATTTCATAGACACAGGCTGTTCCATACCTTGAAATACTGGGGGCTGATAGTTAAGGTAATCTTGAGTTGTATGTTTTCCACAGGAAATGTTAGGTTTTATTCTTTACTAAAAACAAATTGGAAGATTGCTGATAATTCATGATACTAAGAAGCAGAGTTGTTTATGTTGGTTGATGTTAGTCTTAGTACGAAATTTTGATCTTTTAGTTTTCTGACTTTAACAGTGGAAGGGAATAAGGAACATGTGATCTTAGAATTGATATGTGGCTCAGGCAAGTAGCAGTATATGCCCGATGAGAAATCATGACTATTTCTATAATGGGTAGAGCCTGTAGAATAGTGTGCTAAAATTTGGTTTGTTATTGAGGAGTTTTAAAATATTCCTTGGCATCAGACCAGGGCCACAGGCTTTTCCTTAATCCTGCCTTTTCTTTTAGATCTTTTCATTTTTCTTGCTCTTTCCCATGTTATCTGCCCTGTATTCTGAATTCCTTGGAAAAAAAAAATCCCCTGAGAACCATAAAATGGATGGATAGGTTCTCAGAATTTTATTCCATCCTCTCCTCTTTTTTTTATCTTGGCTTTGTTGGTTTGTTTTTGGGCTAAATGTTACTTTTCATGGCTGTTGAGGTGACAAAATTTCAGGGAGGCAACAAATAAACTAAAGATTTTGGTTGAATGAAATTGATAGCAGTTTGAGTTATTCCTGTGGTGTCTAAAATATTAGTAGAAATAATAGATGTATAACAAATATCTGTTCTTTCACTTGTTAACTGATGTCAGATGAGTACCTGTTGTTATTTTGTTTGAAAAAGGGGGCCTGGCATTATCTGCCTATAGTTGAAGTGACAGAATTTGAAGATATTAAATTAGGTTATAGAATAAATTTTTATTTTGATCAAAATCTTTACTTTGAAAATAAGATTCTCTCCAAAGAATTTCATCTGACTGAGTGATGATCCATCTTCAAAGTCTGCTAACATCAGACGGAAATCTGGAAAGGATTTGACAAAATGTTCAAGTCAAATGCAGAACATAGCCAGCAGGAAGAGGCAGTGTGAGGAACCAGAGAGCTCTACATGGTGTCCTGACCATTCTGCTGCAGGTGCAAATGAGTTAGAGCTCATCAAAGATGATACTTGGCTGAATCCATTATGGTACTACTTGGTTCCTGATACTAATGATGAGTAGGGCAAGGAGAATAAGATGATGATGATGAAGGAGGAGGAGGACTGGGAGACATTGAAGACGGAGTGAGCATGAAGGTGAAGAAGATGATAGAGGGGAAGGAGGGGAAGATGAAGGAGAACACACTGATGTAGTTCAACTTTTTATTTTTATTTTTTCCAGTCTCTGAGAGAAAGTTGCCATCTTATTTTTATTTTTTTTGCTCTTGTGCTTAGTCTCCCTGTTTTTGAAATCTCTTCTCTACACCATGGTTCTTATTGTGGGGAAAATACCTTAAGTAGAATACAGTGGGAAAAGGATCTACCCTTTTCTTTTCCAAATTCGTTTGTATCCCTTCTTACCTTGGCAAATGCCTTACAAAATCAACCCTCCCTGTGCTCTGTGGAAAAAAAAGAAAACCTGACCCTGCTTCCTTCACTCTGCTGGATGCTGGATAGTATTAGGCCCCTGTGTAGTAGAGCACAGAATTCTAGCTGTTACCTCCTTTCTCTGTATATTGGATCAGAGAATCGCACTGTCTCCATGTGACTACAGACACTTGGCATTTACCAACTTGCATCTGCTTGCTTTTTCTTGTTTAAAAAAAAAAAAAAAAAGGTCAGCAGGGGGTGGATTTGAGGTGTTTGGATGGGTTAAGTGAGCGTTTTGACAGCTTGGCTGCTTCTTAAGCATGTTTAATTGTGATGGTTAATGGACATCCTTGCAATTTAAGCTGAAACTTTTTAAAATAAAATTCTCTCCTAATGATGACTTGAGCCCTGCCACTCCATGGGAAAATCAGAATTTGTAAGATCTTATTTGGAACTGATGTTCTCTATTGTAACTTTATTCCTGTTTATTTTTAAATTTTGTTTCACTGGAAAAGAAAGATGATGCTCAGTTGTTGTTGTTGTTGTTGTTGTTGTTGTTTTTTTTTACAGAGTTAGACAGTGAGAGGGAGAGACAGAGAGAAAGGTCTTCCTTCTGTTGGTTTACCCCCCAAATGGCCGCTGTGGCCGGTGCTGCGCCGATCCGAAGCCAGGAGCCAGGTGCTTTTTCCTGGTCTCCTTGTGGATGCAGGGCCTCAAGCATTTGGGCCATCTTCCACTGCTTTCCCTGACGTAAACAGAGAGCTGGCTTGTTCATATGGGTGAAGCTCCAGTGCCGTAGGCAGAGGCTTAACCTACTATGCCACAGTGCTGACCCCCATCCATTCATTCTTTAATCTATATTACTGAACCTCTGCTGTGAGCTATTTTTGTTCTAGTGCTGCATCTTAGCAGTGAGCAAAGTTGTGTACTACTGGAAGTTACAGTTCCTCATCCAGTGAGTGAAGTTCAATGAACTAGAACTGTAAATCATACTGAGGAAGCAGTGTATTAAATTGTACATTTCAAAGACACATCTTTTTGTTTTTCTGGGCTGTTAAGTTTGCTTTTGTTGTTGACTTTTTAAAATCTCTTTTTGCCTTTCTGTCTTTAAACCTTGATGCTGTAGATAGAGAAATAACCTCTGAAAGTTTATTGTACTTCTTTCACAAGAGTAAGCACCATATAAATAATTTTCATGTTATTCACCCTGTGAATCCCTTCAAACAGTGCTGATTGTCAAGTCTTAAAAATTACAGCATTTTTGAGGGCAAGTACACCTAAGGGTATTTCATGTGCTATGGAGCCGGGGTTTCATGTGCTCTCGTCTCTCTCCCAAAGAATCAGCAAGCCGCTTACAGATGATTTTGAATGAGATTCAGCCACGAGATACTAATGATTACTTCAACCAAGCCAAAATACTGAACGAATGTGATAACTTTAACTTGGAGGACTTGACTGTCAGTGTGTTGACTCTTGATACTTCTGCAGAAGTCAAAGGTAACAGTAACATGGGTTTTAACCAGAGTTTAAGTAACAGATAAAACTAAGAGCTGGGACCTTAATCCAAGTCTCCATTGTGGGTGGGAGAAACCTAACTGCTTGAGCTATCACTAGTGCCTCTTAGGGTCTGTATTAGCAGGTATCTGGGATCAGGATCCAGAGCTGGAATCAAACCTAGACTCTCCAATTTGAGCAATTTAACCAGCATGCTAACTGGTTGATTAAATGCATGCCCCAATAAAGGGTTTTAAAACTTGGTTTTGGTAATTATTTGATCTTAGGAATGAATTTGTCAGGTTCCTCCCTCACCCCCATTTTATCTGAAAAGCAGAAGAGAGAGGCAGAGATCTTCAAACTGCTGGTTCACTCCCCAAATGCCCTAACAGACAGAGTTGGATCCATCCAAAACCAGGAGCCTGGGAATCAGTCTCCAATGTGGGTCACAGGGACCTAACTATTTGAACCATCATGTGCTGCCTCCCAGGGTGCACATTAGCTGCAAGCTGGATGTGAAGCAGAGTAGTTGGGACTCAAACCAGACACTTGATATGGGTGTGGGTGTTCCAAGCAGTAACTTAGCTGATGCACCAAACACCTGCCCCTCTTTGGCTTTTACCAGAAAAAGAAGTTGTTTTAACAAAAGCCTTTTGCTGGTTCAAGTCCTGGCTGCTCACTTCTGATCCACCTCTCTGCTAAGGCCTGGGAAAGCAATGGAAGATGGCCCAAGTCCTTGGGCCCCTGCACTTGCGTGGGAGACCCAGAAGAAGCTTCTGGCTTCTGGCTTTGGATCAGTGCAGCTCCGGCCGTTGCAGCCATCTGGGGAGTGAACCAGCAGATGGAAGATCTCTCTCTCTCTGCCTCTCCTTTTCTTTCTGTGTAACTCTGACTTTCAAATAAATAAATAAATCTTTAAAAAAACAAAACAGAACAAAAGGCTTTGAGTGCTAAAACCCACTATTACAAGTCAGATGATGTAAGAGGAATGATGTATGCTGAACCTGGGTTGGGCAGCAGTCTCTCCTAGTGGTGTGGTTCATTGTCTGCTGTGTGAGTTCTTAAAGTCAGGAGGCCTTTTAAAGGAACCACACCTTATTACTCAGCAAAATGTGACCTGCCTGGTTGTACCATGCTTCTAGATTTTGCATTCTTACAGCTTGTTTTGGCATTATTTTTGAGTTTCTGCAGTGCTGTAAAAAGTCAGCAGTCATTTAAGGTAATTTATTACATGTTCTACATTCTCCACTAGATGGGGATATTGCTTTATAAAAAGTTCTTGTGATTTTTTAATTATACAAAGTAGCATAGATATATGCTTAATGTAATAGCTTCAAAAAACACAGAGATAAATATACAGTTCTTTTTCATTTCCTCCCCAATCCCATTTCTTTTCTCTCTTTTTTGAGATTGATTTATTTATTTGAAAGAGTTAGAGAGAGAGATACAGGATTACACTATAAATGTCATTTGTTAACTTGCCTTTTTAACTTAGTTTGAAAAAATTTAGCAGTTTGTCTTTTTTTTTTTTTTTAACAGTCAGATTTAGACAGTGTGAGAGAGAGAGACAGAGAAAGAGGTCTTCCATCTGCTGGTTCACTCCCCAGGTGGCCAGAACGGCTAGAGCTGAGCAGATCTGAAGCCAGGAGCTAGGAGCTTCCTCAGGGTCTCCCATGCGGGTGCAGGGTCCCAGGCACTTGGGCCATCTTCCACTGCTTTCCCAGGCCATGGCAGAGAGCTGGATCAGAAGAGGAGCAGCTGGGACCAGAACTGGTGCCCATATGGGATGCCGGCGCTTCAGGCCAAGGCTTTAACCACAGTGCCGCTCCCTCTCCCCCTTTTTAAACATGAATACTAAAATACTCTTAATACTAGAATAAGAGAGTACATAGGGGTAATTATAGTTTATTGACAAGGGGTTTTAATTTTGTTTTGAAAGAAAATTATTGTTTTCTTTGATCTTAAAATTTCTATCCTGAGAGTGGTTGTTTAGTTCATAGTTAAGGCACCTACCTCTCACACTTGGGGAACCTGAGTTTGACAAGCAGCTCTAGTTTTTGACTCCAGCATTCTGCTGATGAAACCATGGGAGCAGAGATGATGGCTCAAGTAAATGGATTCCTGCTTCCCATGTGGGAAACCTGGATTAAGTTCCTGGCCTGTGGATTCAACCCTTGCTATTGCAGACATTTGGAGAATGATCTAGCACACGGGTACTCTCTCCCTCTTTGCCTTTCAATTAAATGAATAAAACCAAAAACGAAGTGTTAAGAAAGGAGTCATTAAAAAAAAGTTCTGCACCTTTACTGCTATAGTAGTTATCCTCAGCAAAATAAATTAGAAAAATTTTTATTATAGTCATCCATGTAATACTTTGTGAGTGATAGAAAGGCAAAGAGAGTTTATTTTATTAATTTCCAAAAATTACAGAGAGGCAGAGGCAGATAGCAGGGTCTTCCATTTGCTGGCTTACTCCCCAGATGGTGGCAATGGCTGGAGCCACCCTGATCTGAAGCCAGGAGCTTCCTCTGGGTCTTCCACACAGGTGTGGGAGCCCAAGGACTTGGGCCACCTTCCACTGCCTTCGCAAGCCACAGCAGAGAGCCGGATTGGAAGTGGAGCAGCCAGGACTCAAACAGGCGCCCATATGGGATGCTGGCACTGCAGACTACACCACAGTGCCAACCCCTAGATAAAGGTTTTAAAACAATATTGTATTTTATTTTTAAATTTATTTTTAAATAATTAAAAAGATAGTGTGATTCCTCCTCTTAGCCTGTACTCATCAATTGTTGCCTTATTTCTCCTGAATAAATTTAACATGTGACAATCTGTTTGTTCAAGCAGGTTATTCTTGGGGAAATTATGAATAAGCTTGTTCTAAGAAAACTGGGGTGAGTAATCAAGAGTGTCTAGTGTTGCAATAGGTTATTATTATTATTATTATTATTATTTTAAGGTAAAGAAGTAAAAACATGTGATGTAACTGCTCAGATGGTCCTGGTATGTTGTTGGAGAAGTATGAAGGAAGTTGCTTTACTTTTAGGCACTCTGTGCCAATTTCTGCCCATACAGTCTGCGCCAGAATCTTCTGATGGATTATTAACAGTGGAGCAGGTAAGGTAGATGTTTGCTCAGCTACACAAAATTTCTGGTCAAAGCATGAATCATAACCTTTTATTTATAATGCATCTTTATAAATAAAGAGTTTGAATTTTTCTTGAATAGAATCTTGCAGAGATCTTAGATTTCTAGATTATAGATGTTACAGATACCAGTTGAAGAAAGTTCATGATAATTTATTATACTAGACTTTGTAATACATTTTAAAACTATGGTATTTTAAGAAACATTTTTATTTAAGTAACTGTAGATTTTACCTTAAACTGCAGTACTATCATTTAAATTTTTATTTCTCCATTTAACATATATTTTAACTTAAATTTTAGCTGAAATTTTCTATGTAGTAAAACTCCACAAATCACTTACATTTTGCAAAGGAGTAACAAGTAACATACTGGTTGATTATGGATCTCATGTTTCCCACTATATTGATGATAAAGTTGTAGTCACTTTGGTGTTTTTGGCTGACTTTTATTTTAAGACCACAAAGTTGGTTCACCATCTGGGACTGTTCAACTGACTTGAGTGCAGTGTTTACAAGAAATTAGCTTACCACAAGCATTTCATTTGGAAATATTTTAGATTTATTAGATTTCTGTTTTTAATTGATTCCCTCTTCCTTTCCATATGGTTTCAACAAATCCATTTCCCACAGTTTTCCAGCAAAAGATATGTAACATGTACTTTCGTTTTTAACCTTTTTCAAATAAAGATAATTTTTTCCCTAGGGTGTTAGAACATTCAAGAACAAAACAAATATTGTAGTATGCTAATACTGATTACTTCTATAATAACCACATGACTGGTTGCATGGAAATAATGCTAATATTTTTATTCTCACACTCTGTGGCTCATGTGCTTCCATCTGGTTAGCAGCTGGGCTTGTGATGTTGCAAGAGCCTGAGATGGAGAAAGGCACAGGCAGCAGTGCACTGTGGGCATCATTGTGTTCTTTTCCAAATCTGATAGGCATTAGTGGCCAGAGCGTTGCTCAGAGTCATTGCTGGTGACTGGCCGGAGTGCTGGTGCCAGCATCTTTGCCAAGGAGTCCAGCCGTGATCAGTGATTGCTTACTGATGGTCGCCATCTTGCTACGAAGTAAACATGTGCTCGTGCCCCTGGACTTCTCACCTTCTCTCCCCAAGGACAAATTAAAATCTCTTGATTTTTGGGTTTGCTGGGTAGTGTTTAAAAACAAATTAAGGGAAACATGTTTTACTTTTACTGTAACCGAGAAAGACTTGAGAGCTTTATCTGAAAATCATTTTGCTTTGACATCTTTTACGTAGTCCCCAAATCTTATGAATTTATGTGGAGTAGCTGTGTTAAAATTAGAAATCAGTGTCAGATCAAAGGTGCATTTGTAAAAATACAAAAAACTAAACAGTAACAAAAAACTTATAAACCATAGGATGCTTCTGGTGACTGCTTGAGTATGAAGTAGAGTCTTGATCGTTTTTCTTTAAAACATCTTTCCCACTGTGATGGAATTGTCAGTGTTCTACGGCACCGTTGTATGGCAGCTTCACATACGTAGGTGAATAAAGAAATGAATGACTGAATGAAGAATCAAAGTATATGATTGCCGTGTTCTGACACTGAAACTCTGCTCTCTGTGGAAAACTTTGTTCCTGATCTTGCCGACTTTAACTAAAGGAATGCCTTGGTTTTGGAGGATGTAGTCAATGAATATCCAAAGTCAGCAAGAAATTAGTGTTATTTACAGTTTCAAAAGGGTGTCTACTTTTAAACATAAGATTTTATGCCACAAAATTCCTTTAAATTAAAAATACTCCCATGTATTTATTTCCTTTTTTTTAAGAATTAAAAATATAAGTGATTGAGAAGAATGTAATTTACATTGAGCTGGCTGAGCCACACATAAGGTACACTGCTTCCTTCCGAGGGCACAGTCACCCTGGCAGCTCTGGTTACCGTCTGCTGTGCCCAATGGCAAAACCAACAGTGTGGGAGTCAACATCTTCAGTGACTGTGACTGCCACAGACCTGGAGAGGCAGGGAAGTGGCTTCCCGACAGAATTCTGTTCTAGTTATGGGACAAAATGTGGACCTTGATTTCTTGTTATTTGGGGACCAACTAATACCTGATCTGCTTTCCTCTTAGTGGGTGAAGGAAGCTGTTTCTCACAGCCTGAAAAACTGGTATTCAGCCTGATGTTCCCTTTCATTCACCCTTTGTTCTTGAAGAAGCAATACCATTCCAGTGTAACAGAAGATTGTAATAGAAGGAAAGGAAGGTTTCTTTAGTACCCCAGTTCCTTTAAGACCTTCCTGGCTTTATGGCCTTTGTTAACTGGATGGCCACTAGGTCCGGTGTACTTGAATAGAATACCAGCAGGCCGACCAAGTGAGACTATAATTTGAGGATTTCTGTTGGCTGTGTGAAGAGGACTGGTGCTGGTTTATGATTCTGAGTTTTCAGTGCTGTCCTCACAAACTGTTAGAGCAGGAAGGGTTGCAAGATTACCCAGCTGCCTTGGACAAGAGGCAGGCGAGGCTTCTGGATGTTACCTGGTTTGCTTGAGATGACAAGGCTGGTTTGTGGCAGCTCTGGGACAGGAATCCAGTCCAGCTTCCCAGCCTGTGTTCTGACATGGCACACTGCTGCATTTGTTCTGAGCTACCCACTTCATTTTTCTTTAAATTGAATTTTCCCTGTGTTTTCAATGCCCAGGCAAATTTTTGCAAGCAGCAAGACAGGAGGACAACTTACTGTTGAACTTTCTAGCAAAGGTTCAGTTTCCCTGAGCACTGCTTGTCAAGCAGCATGCTCTCACTGGCTTCTCCAGGAGGAAAATGTGTTCATTCAGAGGCATGTCTGATTTTCCGCCTGCACTGTAATCACATAACGAAAGGTTCTTTCATAACGTCCCTGTGTCCCTGTGCAAGAGGCAGAGATAAAACCAGCTTTGAGAGGTGGAAGTCCAGACCCTTGAGAGTGAGCGGTGCATACTCCCTTATCTCACAACTTCCCGACTACTTGGTGTGTGTCTCACTTTCACCCTTGATGTTTTGCTGATGTAGAGCTTTTGCTTCATAACGTTTTTTTGGCCTCTTTTCCATGGAGTATTTGATACCTCATGTGTAGTGATGTTTTTAAACCAACTTCCTGTACCTAGAGTATCAACTTATATTTGTATTTTCTCCTTAAATATACCAAAGAAGAAGATCTTTCCATACCTGATTTCCCCCTCTTACTATTTATTGCCATGAAAATCCCATGAATAAAAATAGACTCTTTCTTCAGCTCTTTCTTTGGATTCTGTTGCCATTTGTGTGATGCTCAGTGCTGAGTTGGTACATTCCCTCAGTGTCTTTTGTTACTGTTTTAGATTTACTGTCCTGGACTACAAATGGAATGTACATTTATTAACATTCATAAGTCTTTTTTTTTATAATGCCTTTTTTTTTTTTTTTTTTTGACAGAGTAGACAGTGAGAGAGACAGACAGACAGAAAGGTCTTCCTTTTGCCGTTGGTTCACCCTCCAGTGGCCGCCACGGCCTGCGCGCTGCAGCCGGCGCACCTCGCTGATCCGAAGGCAGGAGCCAGGTGCTTCTCCTGGTCTCCCATGCAAGTGCAGTGCCCAAGCACTTGGGCCATCCTCCACTGCACTCCCTGGCCATAGCAGAGAGCTGGCCTGGAAGAGGGGCAACCGGGACAGAATCCGGCGCCCTGACCGGGACTAGAACCTGGTGTGCCGGCACCGCAAGGTGGAGGATTAGCCTATTGAGCCATGGCGCCAGCCCATTCATAAGTCTTAAGAATTGCCTTTTATATATTTCTTTTGTCAAACTTTAGTTTTTAGAAATTATGAATAAGTACATTGGCTTGTACTGACTGGATGTTACCATTGTTAAGCTTTGAAATGAAGTTGAGTATGAAACCTCATCATTTAGTTAGCTCTTTATTGACTGTCTTACTGCAAGGGTATTGTGGGAACATAAAGAAGTATAACATTTGGTTCTCTGGCCTCAAAGTACTTAGAAATGGAATAGGAGATACAAGAGACAGAAATACATTTTTAGGAAACACTAGACTAAAAAGCAGCAGTTAAAATGTCTCATGGTTAAGAATTTGTTAGAAAGCTAAGAATAAACATTCTGGTATGATGATGTCTGCAAACCCGGAAACTGACCTTTATTTTTATTATGCAGGAGAACAATGTTTGGACTTTGAAAAAAATCCGAAGTGTTAATAAGAAATAACTAGTAGAGAGCACACAGTTTAAAACATTGATGATCTTAGTAGAGTATGAACTTTTGTAAAATGTCCCATTTAACCTAAGTAGAAATAGAAACTCCTGACTGTTGACATGCTCAAGATTTTAAGACGTGACTGTCTCTTAGAGTCAGATTTTAAATTAAGGCTTAAGGATTAAATCTTACTACTGTATAATAAAAACAAAAATGGACATTTTTTTGGTTGCTACTCCATTCCAAGTACTCTGCTAAATACTTGTATGCACAATCGCACTCACTTCTCATAGTAATCCTGTGAAGTAGGTTCTAGTTTGATCTCCCTTTCCCAGGTAAGGGAACTATGCTGCTCCGTTAGTTTGCATTAATAAGGTAATGGAGTCAGTTCTGGTACTCAGTACTGTCAGCTACAGAGCCCAAGAACTTAACTGCACATGCTCTTTGTAGGAACGTCATACGTATATGTATGGATTTAAAACCCTTTGGGCTTATCTAGTTTACAGTGAATGTAATTAGCCTTGATTTTTCTACTCTTTAAAAGGCAAATTGAGAAATGTATTTCCATTTGTCCTTTGTGAGTGTTTTGCTCTAACTGAGCATTTGCCTCCCCTAATTAGTCTGTTGGTGAGTTATAGATGCCTGGAGATATAGCACGGAGCTGTCCTCCCCTGTGGAAATTTGCACCTTGTAAATCCATAAAGTATGTTAATTTGCCTATAGGAGTAGGTTTTATGAAAAGTTAGAGGCAAAATACATTGAATTTAAAAAAAAGACAGTTACTTGAATTTAGCTTTAAGAACAGAAATCAGTGATTGCTTTTTGGTATTTTACTTTAATTCTCTTTCAAACATCCTGAGATGTGTATTACTTATTTTTAAAATATTTTATAAAAGCATCGTCCAAAAAGAAAGCTTTTATGAACTTTATAAATAGGAACCCAATGGCATTTAAAGAAAGGACAGTGAATTGGAGTTTTCAGAGGAGTTTTGCATTTTTCAAATTAAATTTAAAAATTCTGTTTCTTTTTCTGACTCTAGTAATTTTGTAGCTGGTTTGAGTCAGCTGATTATCCACTGGCATGTTGTTAGCAGTGCCCTTCTCCTGCCTAGCTGCTCATAGTCCACACTGCCTAGCTGACTCTTCCCACTCTCTGTTAATGGTTCAGCCCTGTCTTGCAGCCCTGTCTTGCACTGTTCTCTAACATGAAACCTCTAGGTCATTCAACCAGGTTTACTATCCCTAGCTTGTGTGTGCTATATTCATTCAGATAAATAGACCCAGAGAAGTGTCTGGTAGGCAGCAAGTACTTAATGCTTATTCGTTCATACTAGCCTGTGAGTGTCTCTTATATTAATTACCCTCTTCCAATTTTGGTCTACCCAGGTACATTATCTTGTTCAACTTTGGGACATGAAACCTTTTCTAACTATTCAAATGCAGAAGGGTTTTTCATTTCTGGGAACTGTTAGGTTTCCACCTTGCCTACAGATTTTTTCTCCCAGTCTGAACTCCAAAGCCTGCGGAGGACAGACATCTTGTTTTCACCTCCTCCGTCCAGGCCAGCACGGAGCTGCTGAGCCTTTGGCAGGGTGCTAAAAATGCTGCTGACCAACAGGAATTCCGGACGTGCTTCAAAGGGGACGATTCATAGAATCCTGGGTATTACCTTTGTGCATTTGTTGAGTGATGGAAGTGCAAAATGAGAAAGAACTGTATCTCACTTTTGTCCTAAGAGTGTTATTCTGATTTCTGTGCCAGAATTACCCATGGTTGAAATTTATCCTTGATAAGAACACCCAATGGTCATACTTCTGAATTCTTTGATTTTATTATAGGTTCTTAGCTTAGGCTCCATTAAGGGGAGTTAGGATAAAGGGAGCAATGAAAATCTTACTGTTGCTAAAGGAGTAGATTATGAACCATTGTTAAGTCCACAGAGAAGCACGTTGCCATTAATATTTATGTCTTAACATTTTGGGAACAAATTATTAACTAAGGAAGTTAAGCCCTATATCTATCACTTCCTGTTTTTATTTTCTCATGCCTGAAACACATTCCTAGAAAGCTTGGCGGGGGGGGGGGGGGGACACTGCCATTGTGGCTTAGTGAGTAAAGCTGCTGCCTGCAGCACTGGCATTCCATATGGGTGCTGGTGCATTCTCCACTTCCAGTGCAGCTTTCTGCTATTGGCCTGGGAAAAGCAGCCTAGGATGGCCCAAGTACTTGGGCCCTGCCACTGCATGGGAGACCTGGATGAAGGTCCTGACTCCTGGATTTGGTCTTACCCAGCCCCCAGCTGTTGTGGCCATCTGGGTAATAAACCAGTGGATGGAAGGTCTTTCTCTGTCTGTATTTCTCCCTCTCTCTGTAACTTAACATTAAATAAATTATTTAAATTAAATAAATCTTAAAAATTGTTCATGGAAAAATTGAATTAAAAGATTAGTTTATTTAAAAAAAGAGCTTGTATTTCTCTAATAATAAAAAATAATGTCACAATGAGTAAGTTTAACCAGTGTTTTTTTTTTTAATCCCCATTTTGTAGGATTAATGAGCTTTAGGTCTGTTTTTAGGTTGAATTCAGATTTGTTTTTTAAGCTTTTATTTATTTACGTGAGAGGTAGAGTTACAGAGAGGAGAGACAGAGAGAAAGGTCCTCCATCCTCTGGTTCTATCTCCAAATGGCCATAATGGCCAGAGCTGGGCTGATCTGAAGCCTGGAGCCAGGAGCTTTTTCTAGGTCTCCCACGTGGTCGCAGGGGCTCAAGGACTTGTCTTTACTATATAGCGATCTGTAGGGAAGACTTAGATCAAGAGATAGCTGATTATATCTTTGGGTCCGAGTGTTATACAAAACCTGAATTTTCTAAAGCCTGTAGTCACCAAATTTAATAGTTTGAAAGCCCAATTTACCTAAACAATTTAACAGTTAATTCAATGTAGTTAATTTATTTTTCAATATTGGGTGGAGAAAGACAACATGCAGCTAAACAATTGGGTAGAATTCAGGCAAATTGCATAGTTTTGACTCAGTAAGCCTGTTCATTTTTTCAAGAGGCCTTTTCTACAAAATCTTGCATTGCCATTAATATTTGTATATCTCTAAAAGGTAATTATGAGGTATCATTTTTTTTAGAAGATTTATTTATTTATTTTCAAGTCAGAGAAAGATGGAGAGACACAGAGATCTTCCATCCATTGGTCATCCCAGATGACCACCAGGAGCCAGGAGCTTCTTTCAGGTCTCCTTTGTGGGTGGCAGGGGCCCAAACACTTGGGCCATCCTTTGCTGCTTTTCCCAGGCCATTAACAGTGAGCTGGATCGTCAGTGGAGCAGCTGGGACACAAACCAGCACCTGCAAGGGATACCAGCATCACAGGGCACGGCTGTACCCACTACGCCACAGTGCTGGCCCCGTAGGTGTTACTGTTTAATAGGTATGAAATTTCAGTTTGGGAAGATGAAGAAGTTCTGCAGATGGATGATAGTGATGGTTGCACAACAGTATGAATATATTTAGTGTTACTGAACTGGACACTTAAAAATGGTTAAAATGGTAAACTTTATATTATGTATATTTTACCACAATAAAAAAGGAAAATACTTGAAAGGCGAAATAAAAGATAAAAATATTTCATCTAGATCTGTGTGCGTGAGCATTGGCACTCTGTGTGATTTGCTGTTTCTGTTGAATAGTAGGAGCTAACGAGGATTCAGTGAGGTTTGGGAAGCTGGCATAGGGAGGCAGTTCTAGTTTGGTAGTTAAAGATGGCTGATTCTAGAGCCAGGCTGCCTGGGCCCATGTCCTGGCTCTACTGCTTCATCCCAGAAAGGCCTTCGTTTCCCCATTGTGAAATAGCGATAATGACAGTACAGATTTCATGAAATTATTTCATGAAGATTAAATGAGATATTGTAAAATTACTTAAAATGTTACCTGTCAAAGAGTAAGTGGGTATCTCGACCTGAGCTCCAACTGATATTATGGATTTAATACATTTATGTAAGCATAAATTGAATATTTTGTTTGAATTTTTTTTAAGGTAAAAGAAATAGGAGGTTACTTTAAACAGCACCTTTTACAGTCCAGGCACAGAGGAGCATTTGAACTGGCTTATACCGGTTTTGTGAAACTCACTGAAATACTAAACAGGTAAAACAAATATCCTTTTGTGTACGTTTTTAAAAGAACTAAATGTACAAACCATGTGCTTGGAGTAGAATTTAGTTGTGTCTTTTGATGTTTAACAGAATAAAGACATGGTTGGCTAAAGAAACTCTTGGGAGAAATTGTTTTCTTAGGGTTCATTGTGTGATTTACTGCAGATGATTGAGTGAAATGTCCAAACTGAGTCGCTGTCTCATTGAAAGGTGATTTGAAGCAAATGCAAAGATTTTGCTAAAAATAGCTTTGGAATTACTTTTTCTTTTCATTGAATGAAATGAATGTTTTGTCTATTTGAAAATTACTTGGCACTTGGCATAAAACAAACCCTGCAGGTTTTTGGATTTGCATGTGTTACACACAGAAACACGTAAGGATTTTGTCTCTTTCTTTGTAATTTTATCTTACATAAAATTTTTAAAGAATAGTAAGTAGGCCAAAGACTATAAAAGATTTTCCCCCCTTACTGGGAAAATGCTTAGGTAGATTTCATGTTTAACCAAATGTATTTTTTTAATTTATAGGTGCTGATAATTTCATTCATTCGTATAATAGATTTCCTCCAAAGAGCTTGTGAGGAAACCTTAAATTACTTAATGACTAAGTGTTCATGGCAAGTGTTCTCTAAATAAAAGGTAGTATTTTCCAGGAAAACATTTCCATTGCCTGGAAACTTTTTGAAATGAAGCGGAGTTCTGCCAGCCTTCTAGCCTCAGCAAACATTTTATTTTGGGCTGTTAAGACATCTACTCCTTGAATGTTTTTGAAACTTTTTTTTACACTCCTGGTAAAAACATGTATAAAACATTTTGGCAGTTATAGGCTGTACATAATGTCTTTGGATGATACTTAAACAAATGTCCTTGATGTCAAACTGCTGATCTTCAAACCATTTTGTGAGTTTTTCAACTTTATGTTTCTAGTATAGACATGACTTATGAGTATTTTTTTCTTACAATGCAACACCCCCCACTCCCTAGCAAATATATATTCAATACTAGCTGTGTGCTTAGTTCTGTGCTTGGTTTGGAGGATATAATGCTTCTTTATAAGACATGGTTCCTGTTATTAAAGAGCTTACGGTTAGTTTGGGAAATAAACAGGGTTGAAATTCAAAATATTTAGCAAAAACCATATCATGGGCACTGACTGGGCAGAACAGACACTGGCTGTGAGTACCCAGCATCACCGTGTATATATGGATGTGTGTTGGCTGAATACCAGCTCAGGAAGTAAGACTAACACCAAATTATGGGTGAAGTTTACAAATCCTGTAGGAACAACAGAGAGAGCAACAGGGATAGGCTATTAGGTCTCACAGAAGAGGTAGAATGTGTGCTAGTGCATAAGTAAGTAGATAGGAAGGAAAAAAAGGAAGCTCTGTGACCAAACGTTCAGAAGCCAGAATCAACTTAGGCGAGTAAATAAGCTAGCCTTCCTAGTGTTGGTGGTTGTGGTGGGGTTGGTAGGAAATAGCATATACCTGGATAGAGTGAGGCCAAATTATGGTGTGTCTTGAAAGTCAGTTTGCTGTAATAGGAACAGAGAGAGACATCAGCAGTTTTTATCTGAAATATATCATAAGCATCGTAGGATAAAGAAATTAGCAGTGATCTGTGACTTAAGCTCTTGGTCCTATTTCTGTTCATTTATTGGCAATGTGGTGCAGTTTTACAAAGTTTAACCTCCTTAGTCTGAACTTGTTCATTTCTAAAGTAAGGAAGAAAATATTTAGTCTAATGACATCTCCCAAGCTTTTGTTGTATGGGTCAAATAAAATAGATATTTTGAAAACTCTTTTGCGTTGTAGAATTTCCTGAAAACACAGACCATTATGAGATTGATGTTGGTTGTAGGGTGGATGTGTAATAGAAGTTTCTCCATTGGAAGTGTTAGTTTAAATAGATTGTAACGATAGATTACAGTGAGTAGAACCTGAGTTCATTTAAAACAATCTAGATCTGATGTCTTCCTCCCTGGTGGTGGCTAAGGGAATAGGGACAAACGTGATATTTCAGTTAACATTCAGCTTGCTGTGGTAACAATTCCATATATGACATATAGAATTATTTCAAGGGGAAGCTGTGGGCACAGCATATTACATTGCTTAATTTTCTTTTTCTAGAATTACAGAGAAGGGTTTAGTCTAGCAGTTAAGATACCCACATCCTATATTGGAGTGCCTGGGTTTGATTGACAGCTGTGGCTCCTGGCTCCAGCTTCCCACTAATGCACGTTACTAATACTGAGAGGTAGCAGTCAGTGATGGCTCAAATGATTGGGTTCCTGCCATCCTTGTAAGATATCCAGATTAGGTTCCTGGCTTCTGGCACTGGCCCTGCCGTTTTCCCTGCTCCAGACATTGTGAACATTTTGGGGGGTGAATCAGGTGAGTTCTCTCTCTATGTCATCTATATGCCTCACTCTCTCAGCCTCTCTTCTACACACACACACACACACACTGTCTCTCTCTCTCTCTTTCTCACACACACACATACACACACACACACAGAATTAGGGCAGGGCTCAGCCATGTGATTCTTCTTAGGTTAATTACTGAGTTTGGTTGGTAGCATTTAGTTGGCAGACTAACTGGTCAGAATGAATCCAAGATAGCTTTGCCTGCCTTTGTGCCCCTTGGTGGAGATAGTTAGAAAACTTGGCCTAGGCCGGTGCCGTGGCTCACTAGGCTAATCCTCCGCCTGAGGCGCCGGCAACCCGGGTTCTAGTCCCAGTCAGGGCACTAGTTCTGTCCTGGTTGCTCCTCTTCCTGTCCAGCTCTCTGCTGTGGCCCAGGAGTGCAGTGGAGGATGACCCAAGTGCTTGGGCCCTGCACCCCATGAGAGACCAGGAAAAGCACCTGGCTCCTGGCTTCGGATCAGCGCAGTGCACCTGCTGCAGTGGGCTGGCCGCAGCGGCCATTGGAGGGTAAACCAGCGGAAAAGGAAGACCTTTCTCTCTGTTTCTCTCTCTCACTGTCTAGCTCTGCCTGTCCAGAGGAAAAAAGAAAACTTTGCCTGGTTGGGACTACATGTGGTCTTGAGGTAGTTGAGCATCTTATATGCAGTAGGCTTCCTGCAGAGAGAATGTACCAGGAGAACCAGGCAAAAACCATGGGATCTCATGCATTGCTTCTGTCACATTCTTTTGGTTATATGTGAGTCTTTAGGCCAGCTTGGGTTCAATCTGCCTACCAATGACAAAGTGGCAAAGATCATATTGTAGAAGTATATGTGGGAGGCCAGCACCGCGGCTCACTAGACTAATCCTCCGCCTTGCGGCACCGGCACACCAGGTTCTAGTCCCGGTCAGGGCGCCGGATTCTGTCTCGGTTGCCCCTCTTCCAGGCCAGCTCTCTGCTGTGGCCAGGGAGTGCAGTGGAGGATGGCCCAAGTGCTTGGGCCCTGCACCCCATGGGAGACCAGGATAAGTACCTGGCTCCTGCCATCGGATCAGCGCGGCGCGCCAGCCGTGGCAGCCAATGGAGGGTGAACCAATGGCAAAGGAAGACCTTTCTCTCTGTCTCTCTCTCTCTCACTGTCCACTCTGACTGTCAAAAAAAAAAAAAAAAAAGTGTATGTGGGTGGGAGACATTGTGGTGGTCATCTTTGAAAAATGCAGTCTCGGGGCTGGCATTGTGGCATAGCGTGTAAAGCCACTGCCTGCAATGCCATCATCTCACATAGGTGCTGGATTGAATCCCAGCTGCTCCAGTTCTGGCCCAGCTCCCTGATAATGTGCCTTGGAAAGCTGAAGAAGATGGCCCAAGTGTTTGGACCCCTGTACCCATGTGGGAGACCCAGAAGAAGCTCCTTGCTCCTGGCTATGGACTGACTCAGTTCCAGCCATTGTGGCCATTTGGGGAGTGAACCAGTGGATGAAAGAGCTCTCTCTGACTCTCCCTCTTTCTCTCTGTTACTCTGCCTTTCAAAATAAATAAATAAGTCTTAAAAAAAAAATGCAGTCTGCCATGTGAACCAGTGAATGTGAGCGATAGCAGTCAGCAGGGAGTCCACAAAGGAAGACTAGAATCAATGCTAACAAAGCCAAAGAAACTGCAACAGGGGATTGGTTTGATAAAGATGAGTAAGTTTGCTTTGCATCTGGTAAGTGTGGGATAATGAGGGCATGTCCTGGTGGAAATATTTAAGTTAACAGTTGGAGATAGGGGATTAGTTTGGGTGCTATAACAGAAACAGAGATGTAGATTTGTGAATTTTCTCCATAAACATCATACTTAGGAGTGCAGTCTTTTGGGAAGAGCAGAAAATGAGAAAAGAACAAAGGATGAAGGACAGAGGTTTGTGTCCAACTGTGGTTGAATGATCTAGGTGAAGGCATTTCAGAGAAGTGGAATAGGGAGACTAGTGCCTGCTCTCTCAGCCACTCCTAATCTGATTTAAAGATCTCCTCACGACTGTCAGGATTGGCTTTTAACCAACCTGTCTTGCATTCTCTGCTTCACACCAAGTGGTTCTCAGTCCCTTGGAGATATTTCAAATCTGCTGGACAGAATGTTTTGCAGGGAACATCTTTACAGTGTGTGTGGCTCTTTTGTTTGGTTTTTATTTTTAAAAGAAAATTTGTTTCTTTTGGATTCTTTCTGAAAGCTTTTTGTAAGCTCTTAAGTTATGAGAAAAGTTGTTTAGGCATACAACATTTAAAAAGTTTGCAAAAAGAGATGTGGGCGCTCATGAAGATCTACAGAAATGGAGGCCAACTGCTGGCCACCTCTTGAACCTCAGCTGTGCTAAGGAAGGAAGCACTTAAGGAGATTAATGGATAAATAACTGAAGAGTTAAACATGAGCCACATTGTTTGAATTGGTTTTTAATGGGATTATTCAAAATGTCTTCAAATGTAAACTGACTTCACTATTATAAACAAGCATCTCAGAATAAATGGGAATGGGAGACACTATTCTTTTTTCTGGGAATCTTTTGGAAAAGCCATCCTTGCATACACATAACACATACACAAATAATATG